TGGCTTTCAGCACATCCTGCATGCATATACATGCTAGCCAAAATCCCAAGATGAGAATGTAGGAGAAAGGATTGCAGCATGAGCATCTCTCTTGGAGGGTACTTTCTCATTTTCTCTCTTTAGCTCTATCTCTGTGTGTCTGTCTGGCAAGTGCCTGTGCCCTAAAGTAAATTAAAAAAAAAAAAAAAGAAGAAAGAAGAAAAAGAAAGAAAGAAAGAAAGAAAAACACCTAACACAAACAGAAAAGAAAAAACTATATATATAAATAAATGATGTATATTTTGTGTTGGTTGATTTCATGTACTTTATGAAATTATCTATAAACTCATATTTTTCAATTATTTGGCACTATGTATTTTATTTTATTGAATTAAGTGAGCATCTAAATATATAATGGCTATAGAAAGAAAATTTTAAATTTAAATACACATTACTAATTACTTATCTAAAAGCCATAAAGTTCCATGCCAGGAGTTACGCTTATTTTTTTAAAAAAATCTTTTCTTGTTAAAATATTTGAAATATTTTTTCTCACATTAAAAGTTGTTTTCACTTCGGAGAACAATTTTTGATTTATACATAATACTCTGCTTTTCATAATCATATACAACGCTAAAGATGCAATTGTAGTAGGCAATTGTATTGGAAATGGTTATTGTCCCTGAAAGCACATATTTAGTCAATAGCCATTCCTCAATCATCATACATACCCTTATTGGTCCAACACTAAGTAAGGGGTATTGTGGTAGCTTCAAACATGGATCACAATGATGCCCGCACTCTGGTATTAACCTGATACCACAATCTACCAAGGTTGATTCATGTTGGTTCATACAGTAGAAGTGGTAGTATGTGGCTTCTAATTACAAGTTATATATTAAAAACAAACAAACAAACAAAAACAAATAAATATTTTCATTTGGAGAATCTGCAACTATAAAAAGCATAATTGCTTTATGGGACCAGCAGCTAATGTAATGTTTGGGTCACTTGACTCCCACATGGGTAACTGTGGTTCAAGTCCTGGACCCAGTGGCTTGACACGTGCACCATGTGCATGTGTATGTGTGCCCAAGATCCCAAGAGGAAAATGGAGGGGAAGGGATTGTGGCATGGTCATCCCTCTCCAGGGAATGATTTCTTGCTTTTTGTCTCTCTGTCTCTCTCTATCTCTCTGAGAAGTGCACGTGGCCTATAGGAAAAAAATTTCTCTAAACAAAATGTGTATAACTACTTTGGCTCACACTCTCTGCTCACTCTCAGATCTCATACAATGAGTAAAATTCTGTCTGGAGAAGCCTCATAGAAGCAAGGAACTGAAAATGCTCCTCAACAGCTACATGTGTGGGACTAGAAGAGGAACATTAATCCTAACCAAGACTTCAGAGACATTCAACCAGCAACATACTGATGCCTCAGTGTAGACCCTGGACTAGAATCACCAAAGTAAGTCACTCCCAGATTCCTAATCCTGAGAAACTATGTGATATAATAAAGATTTGTTTTGGGGCCAAATTTATAACTTACAACTTACATTTTTATAAGTTATAATTTGTACCTTAAAAAGAAATGTATAATACAGACATGGTTTTACTAAATAACTTGCTGGAGTGAAGGGTGAAGGTTGAAACAATAGAATGTAATTTTCCCTGTAGGAGTTTGCCTAACACATATAGAAATTTATACTGTAATCAAATTCTTAGCACCAATACTACAGTGTGTGTATGTGTGTGTGTGTGTGTGTGTGTGTGTGTGCATGCACATGGGTGGGTGCACTTCCCAGAGAGACAGAGAGAGATTAAGAGAGAGAGAAAGGAAGAAACCAACTGCCAGGGAAATGGCCACACCACAATCCCTTCTCTATACTCCACCTAGGATTTTAGGTAGGCATGCCCATCTGCCCTGCATGAATTTTAAGCCACCGGGTCTAGGACTCAAACCACAGTAGGCCATGTGGGAGTCAAGTACTTTAACCACTATGCCACCTGCTGGTCCCCAGCACCAATGATTTAATGCTCCATTTTATATATTTTTAATTGCCGAATAAAGAATATGTGGATTTATGGTGCACAACATATTTTGATAAGTTATAGTTTATGGAATGTCTAAATCAAGCTAAGTAGCACATACATTGCATCACATATTTATTTGTTATGATGAGAACAATTGAAATATATTTTCAAAATTATAATACGCTGGTATTAACTGTACTCACCATGTTGTACAACAGCTCTCTAGAATTTATTTCTTCAAATTGAAAATTTGTATCCTTTGGAAACATCTTCCCAAGTCTAATGATTTAATTAGATGAGGTAATTCTATTGAGATACTGCATATTTGATTGTTGACCTACTAATATGCAAATAAAATGCAATTTTAATTGAGCTAAACTTAGAAATATCCAATCTTAGAAAATAGGCAGGATCATTATGAAAGTGCCAATACAGTTGCTATTAACAGCATAGGTGATAGATTAACTGGCTTTCACAAATTCAGAGAAAGTAATATATTAAAAAATACAGTTTAATTTTATTAAATTGAGTAGTATATTATTTGATGGAACTCATTCAACATTTTTTGTTCTAAAAAGGGATGCAATTCTGATGCCTCAATTCATAAGGTGAGTTGTTCACTCCATATTTATATTTGATCCAGTTAAACGGGCTTGTCACTTGGAATAGAGATAAGAATTTTTTGGTAATTGCTCAATTACTAAGCAAAAAATATATTAATTATCTTTGGTTTTACACTACATTAAGATAATTAATAAGTTTTATGCAATAATAATTTGTTTCCTGGCAATTGTATCAGTCAGTGTCAAGTCCAGAAGGCAGGAATCATTCTAGAGCTTGCAAATAGGGAAAATTTTAATGTAGGAAATGAGTTACAAAGTTGTTCGATGGACCTTAGGAACAGAAGGGACAGAGATTCATCAGCAGTTAGGAGGTTACTCAGGCCTGGGTGGAGGCGTGCAATTTCTGCAGCTTCGGCTTCTGTCTGAAACCAGTTGCTAAGGGGAGACTATTTCTACTGTTGGACTCCAGGAGACTGCTTTTTACTGCGTTTAATCCCTAGCTTATCTCCATCTTCCCACTGGAATTATCTAGGTGCTAAGGGAGTTAGAGAATGTCCTTTTAAGGTTTCCTACTCTGCACTGCAGAAACAATCTCAGAGGGGCAGGAAGCACTGAAAGCCAACAGCCACATAGCAGGTGTAGCAATAAGCAATCATTAGTAATACCAAAATAAAGATATTTTATGGATGATGAATGAAACATGATATATTCATCCTCATTTAAATAGAAACTTCTTTCACCATTTCATTAATGTATCTAAACATGCAGCAGTGTGACCTTTATTTATTGCTAAGCTTCATCACATTCCTATAGCCTCCGATATATCTGCCTTTCTTCTCCAATCCCAATAGGTATTTTTATCCATTAAGCAAGCCAAAAATAAACAGAAAACACTCAGGAAGCCAAGCACTAAACTGCACCAAAAATTAATCTCATCATCCCTGTTCTTTATATCATGATCTTGTTCTCAAGGATCAGGCTTTGTCTATCTATTTTATCCAATTATCCTCTGCCATGCAGTGACATTAATGTTTTCCTCCTCTTTGGCTGTGTGTTTCTAAGTATGTACACACACATATATATGTGTGTGTGTATGTAAGTATATACATATACACATACACACATATATATATGAATATATACACACACATATATATGAATATATATATATATATATATACATGTAAACATATTAAATTATCCCATTAAATTATCTTACACCTTGAAAATTAGTTTGTGACCCATGAAGCCAATTAGTTATTGGCTGGTTGGAAAAGTCATTACTTTTTTTTTTCTTTTTTTCTATGCAAAAATCTATCATGACTTTTCTGACAACCCAAAACATGCATGCTTTCATTTAAATGTGCTTATAGAACATTTTGAACAAATTTTCTTCACTTTCTCACTTCTTATTTTCATATACCTAATTGGTTTTACTTAGCATCCATACCCCATATGACATTGAAACTTCCTGAAGAATGACGTTAGCCAACAACCTCAGTTTGTTTATATTGTGTTGGTTACGGGTAGTATAGTACTGTAACTGTTGGTACTGTGGCCCAATTACTTTTGCAAATTTCTTCTGCAGTCTGTAAGAACAGCAGGAA